ATAGACTGGCAGTTCTAGTTGCCTCACCAGTGTTTACTACAAACCAGAGGAGTGGGAGCAGATCCTCAGGACATTCCGTGTGTCTGGGATATTTGTCTTCACAGTTAGAGCTCTCTCCTCTTAGGTGAAGTTGGTCCTCATTATTAAGAAATTCAGTGTTTGTAATCTGCCTACTTGTTGATCTTTCTTGCCTGATAATCACGTTCCAGCTGAGCTTACCATCAGCTAGTAAAAAGCAATGCTCTAGCCTAAAGACTTCATCTTATTATTACAAATTCTTAGGCGGTCATAGATTTTATCCCACATCTTGTACATGTGAAAACTGAAGGCCCAAAGTCACTGCCAGTAAGTAAATCATGTTGCTAAAACTGAATCTCAAACCTACAAAGCTACAACGTCCTGTTCTCCATTCCCACCCCATGTGACTACCACATTGACAGTGTCCTGACTCATAGAGCAGCCACTAAGGAAGCGACGCTTATAAGCTTGGGGAATAAAAATTCACATCTGAACTAGACATTAAAAATCACACCAAGACTAGAGGTATGGCTCAGTAGTAGAGCTCAGGCCCTGAGTTCAAACTCAAGTACTGCCAAGTTAAAAGTAAATGATCAATAAACCAGAATATATCAGCTAACACAGGATGAAATTCTACATCTTTCATAAGCATAAAGAAAACACATGCCTGGGTGGATAAGAAAAAAATGTAAGAATAAATATGTTGCAATGAAATTTCAGGGTAAGATAATGAATACTAGCCAGTCAGCTTAATCCTCCCCTACTACTATTATTTGTTTCAGATACATTTTCTTTTTTTCTTTTCTTTTTTTTTCTTTCTTTGTTTTTCAGTCATGGGGCCTTAACTCTGGGCCTGAGCGCTGTCCCTGATCTCTTCAGCTCAAGGCTAGCGGTCTACCATCTGAACCATAGGACCATTTCCAGTTTTTCCTGCCAATGTGGTGCTGAGAAATCGAACCCAGGGCCTCATGCATGCAAGACAAGCACTCTACCACTGAGCCACCTTCCCAGACCTATATTAATTTTCTAGTGATGTACAGGATGAATTGAGGACATGGGTAGGAGAGTCAAGGCAAACAGATCAGTGAAAGGAATATTGTAGAGATGGCCTAGAAAATGAAAAGGAATAAATAAATACAAGGGATGGTGTGAAGACAGACTCCTAAATGCTTGGCAAAGTAGGTAGAAAGTGCAGTTTTTACTCTAAGAGGTGGCTGGTGGGGGCAAGAAGGGTAAGCATGCTTACCAAACTATCAACACCTACACCATGAACTAGTGTCATCAGAATTGCGTTGTTTCCCTCAACCTCTGTAAATATACCCTCTGGATATAATTTCCTACTTATTCCTCTTAAAAAATCTCTTATTTTTAAACATTTACTTACTTAGTAAGGGCTTGAGCTCAGGTTCTCACACCATTGGCTCAGCTTTCTTGCTCACAGCTGGTGATCAACCATTTGAACCATGCTTCCACTCCATTGTTTTTTTTTATAATTTTTATTGAGATTAAGTGGTTACATAAATTTCACAAATTTCACAGTATTGGGAGATACTGATTCTTAGTCCAAGTCACAAACACATTTTAACGTTCACAAGGCAAATTGTCATTATCCTGGTCTATAAAGTTTGTGGATTCTATGAGCCTTGACAATCCAACTATTTCTTCCACATTGGGTGATATGTACATTTCTTTCCTTTTGTTTGGTGTTAGCTGTTTCCTCCCTCCCTCTCATTCCCTCCCTCCCATCGCTCCCCTTGAGTTACTAAGTTCATTTTCATCAATATCTAATGTAGCTGCTGGGCCCCTCTGTTGTATGTTTTCCCCTCTTCCCTCTGATTCTGTCTTCTTCCACTTAAAGGGAAAAAAAAACTTTGGAAGAAGACAAAAAAAGTTTGAAAAAATATGGTATACAATTTTGTATCCTTCTTCCCATCCATCCTTATTTCTTCTTTTAAATATAATTTTATTATTATGAAGGTGTTGTACCGAGTTTTCATTTCATAAGACAGGCAATGAGTGCATAATGCCTTGGTAGCATCCAAACCAGTAAAATGCTTCTTAGGCTAGTTTCCTCTGATATTGAGTTTCATGAAACTCAAAAGGCAGCATATTCTTCCCCTATTGCTCTTGTCCGCATTACTGGAAATGCTGATGGCAGAACACTCCTAACACACTTCTACAAGCTCCCTACTATTTTCTACTGATTAAAATATTGTAATAAGTCAGGAATTAATAGATACTGAAAATTCCTTACAGCTGACAAAAAAAACAGATACCAGAATAGATGGACCAAGAAAAAAACTTTCACCATCTTCAAATTAAAGTACAGGGATTTTGGACCCCACTGGAAAACCTAAGCAACAGACAGGTAAATGGAGAAAAACACTTCAGGCAAGCGCAAGGAACATGCCTTGTGTCTGACCTTGTGTGCCAGGAACAATTATGGGCCAGCTTGCCTGATAGGAATATAAGAGAAGGATACTCATGTTACTTGAGTTTGTCTTGCCAGAGACAATTTCCCACACTTGCAAAACAATGCAAGTAGAAAATGCACGCGTTCTATTAAGAGTAAGAAATGAATATTATGATGTTGAAGAGGAAGACAACTCAGCACCAAAAGACACCAAGTTCCTGTACCCATGGACACATAGTTACTAAATTCTTATTAAATGCAAAGCTCTGTTGTACATTCTGAAAGATTATGAACATTGTTCATAGATTTCCTAAGAGTTTGTGGAATGTTTCCATAGGCCTAGGAACTCTGTCACAAACTGGGAATGGATGAAATAAAAGAAAACTTCCTGCCCTCAAGGAGAAGGGTGATGAACACCAGAGGCCCACACCCAAAACCATCTGCAAGCATGGAGGTCCTAAGGATTTTTCCAAGAAAGCCAGATCTATGAGTTTCCAGGGCTGCTGGAAAAAACTTACCAAAAACTCAGTGACTTAAAACAACAGAAATTTGCTTTGTCACAGTTCTGGACACCAGAAATCTACAATCAATGTGTCAGGGTGGCCATGTTCTTCTTTTGTTTGTTTGTTTGTTTGTTAGTCATGGGGCCTGAACTCTGGGCCTGGGCGCTGTCCCTCAGCTCTTCAGCTCAAGGCTAGTGCTCTACCACTTGAGCCACAGCCACTTCCGGCTTTTTCTGCTTATGTGGTGCTCTACCACTGAGCCCCTTCCAAGCCCCAGGCCATGCTCTTCTTGAAGGCTGCAGGGAAATCTCTTTCCTTGCCTCTTGCAACCCCTGGGGGACCCCAGCTGCCCTTGGTTGTTCCTTGCTTGGTGGCTATATGACTCCACTCTCGGCCCTGTCTCTGTCAGTGCAGGCTGCTAGAACAAAACTTGAGTAGGTGGCTTATAAACAATAGAAATGTATTGCTCTGTCTTCTGGAGGTAGGAAACCCCACATCATCACTGGCAGATTTGCTCTCCAGTGACAGCTTATATCTGGGGGCTCTGGTGAGCCCCTCCAGAGAGAGAGCAAAACATTGGACTGAGTCTTTCAAGCCTTAAGGTCTTATGTACTTTGCAAGGTCATGCTCTGAACCCATAGCTTCTTCCTTAACGCCTGTTTCCCTTGAAGAATGGGAATGTCCATTCTATTCTTTTCCCAACATTCTATTTTGAACACTCAAAACTCCCTTGGTTTCAAATTTTCATAGCTAGAGATGGATTTTGCCATAGACTATAGTGTACCTGATTTTGAATTTTAGATTCCTTTGGAGTTGATGCTAGAATGAGTTAAGATATATGAAGTCCGGCTGGGGGTGGGGCTTGTATAGGTGGGGCTTGTATTTATAATCTCAGCTACCTTGGAGACAGAGATCAAGAAGACCCCAACTCAAGGTCAACTCAGGAAAAAAAATTAGTGAGACCTCCAACTCAACAAATAAGTCAGACATAGTGGTACCCAGATATAATCCCAAACACATGAAGGCCATAAATAGATGAAACACAGTCCAGGACAGCTCTGTGCAAAGTATAAGATCCTATTTTAAAATAACCTAAAAGTAAAAAGGAAGAGGGTATATCTCAAATAGTAGAGCATTGCCTAGCAAGCACTAAGCTCTGAGCTCAAACCCAAATACAACCCAAAACAGGAAAAAAAAAAATGTCTGGGGTTTCTGGTGTGAAATGAAGTCATGTGACACTCAACAAAGACAGGAATCAGGATCAGGAGTAGAATGTTATGGAGTGAATGTGTTTGTTCATAATTCATGCACTGAAACTCTTAATGCCAATTTTCTACACCTTTTTTCACTATAGTAAGCGAGCAGTACCTGCTCAGTAGAAATTGTACTTTGCATTTGGACTTTGTTTCCAAGGCTAATGATGTACAATGACACTCCACCAATGCTTAGTATTGACAGTAAGCACCAGTTCCCAGCCAGTCTGGTGATGGTACAGGGAAGTGTCCAGTGTGCTGTGTGGCTGAGCCAGGAAACCCAGTAAGTCACAGGTAGGAGGTACATTTCTGACTCACAGGATTTTCGGTTTGCAAAGCTTATCTGAATGTAATGCCATATAAACCGAGAAGCACCTTCAAGAGCAATCTTACAGATTTCTTCCAAATTTTCTCATAATTACAACAGAAGAAAGAATACCTAATATAATGTAACCACATAAGCTAAATAAGTAGCAACAAAAATAGTCATGTGCCCAGCAGCTTTGTACACTGGATTTTAGTTTAGGAATATTACCTATGTTAGAAATGTTTCTATGCCAAGGACTGATGGCGCACACCTGTACTCATAGTTGTTCAGGAGGCTGAGATCTGAGAATTCAAGTTCAACGCTAGCCCTGCCCCCCCAAAAGCCATAAGACTCTTATCTCAAATTAACCAGCAAAAAAGCTGGAAGTAGAGATGTGGCTCAAGTGGAAGAGCACCAGCCTTAAAGATAAAAACTAAAAGACAACGCTCAGGCCTGAGTTCAAGTGCTGGCACACACACACAAAAAGAAATACTATTATCAAAGTAATTTTCCAGGTGATTCTTTTCCAGCATTCTAATTTTACATGGAGTAAAAGCAAACTGTGTAAACATTCAATATAATAATCGTCATCCAAAGTTCCCACTTGTTACAATGAAGTTATTTTTTCTAATAATTTGGAGTTACAGAAAAAAGACATTTTATTTAGATATTATTTATTTTGATAAATACTATTATTAGATTTAAATAACATTGTTAGGTAGTACTATTTAGATAAATTTTATTTACATAGTATCTTTGTTTTCAGATACATTACATTAAACTATCATTCCTTATCAGCTAGTTAACTTTGGGTAAGAGCTTTAGTTTCTCTAAGTTCTCTTTGCTTCTCCTCTATAATATAGAGACAACAATCATTACAATGAAGACAGCCACTAAGGATGAAATCAGCTGATACCACTGCCATTACTCAATACAGAAAGCAGCTATTATTGTCACTATGGCTGAAATTTCACAAACTCGCCATTTGCCCTATTAACTCATGATCTCTTTTTTCTTTTTTATTATTAATTTACTTTATTGTTATAGAGATGACATACTGAGGGATTACAATTGTGTGAGTCAGGTAATGAGTATATTTCCTTTCTTACAGTGTCTTCTGTTTCCTTGCTCTCCGTCCCTCTCTCCCATCTCCACCCATATATATACATATATAAATATATATATCACTATATATATACATATATAAAACTATATATACATATATATAGTTCACTTATAGTATAGTTCACTTTCATCAGTGTCCAGTGAGCTCTAATGTTGCACTTTTTTACCCTTTTTCCCTCTAGTTCTGTACCCTCTCCACAACCCTTCTGAAGATGTACACTTGAATACACCATACATAAGGTAAGAAGACAGAATCATCAAAAACTAAAAACTAAAAGAAAAAAAGAGAGGGAGAGAGATCTCATTTCTATATCTTGGAGCTCGTTTCAAAATGTACATTATTTTATATAACTATGAAGAGCATTTAGGCATTGCACCTTTGTGCTTCTCTCCTAAGAGTATCCTCTTTTGGTCTCACTGTGTGCGCATGTCTAGAATCCTGTGTCATTGATCATATCCCAGTGTCTTTTAGATCTGATTTCGGCATCGCATACAGAACATGCCCCGTTTGTCTCACGACCTCTTTTTTAAACAGGTAAGTGTCAGAAGATGACCCTATAATGTCAATGCGTGTGCTGTAAACATTAACCAGAACCTTTGGGTACTTTGAACATAGTAGTTTACATGCCTGTGTAAGATCGTTTCTCTCTCTCTTTGTCTTTCCTTCCAAAATAAAAGTCTCTTTTCGGAGCTCCAGGAGAAGGTTCTGGGTCAACTCCTGGATGAGCTGCCTCCCTCGCTGGGCGCTGCCAGGCTTGGACCCATCCTGGGCATCTCTTAGGTGAATGGTGGTGAGCTCACCACTCACCCTCTCCTGAATGTGAATACAAAATCTTCGCAGGGTGTTTTCATAAAGCTCACACTTCTGTTTGAGGTAAAGATAAATATCTGTGTCCAGCACGAGTGTTTCTCTGTTTCCTACAGACACAGGAATGAGAGTCTTGAGTGTGGCCACCGAGTTGGCATTTTTCTCGGGAAGCTTCTGGGGGCTCTGAGTATTCCACTTTCTCCCCGCCTTGGAGAAATTCCTACTTCTTTCTAAAAGAGAAAGGGCTTTTGTTAGCAGAGACTCGTGGAGCTTCTTGAGAGCGAGAAGCGATCCTTCCACGTAGATCCTTCCACTGGGTTCCAAAGAACTGAAGCATAAAGTAGGGTTTTCCTTTTCTAGATCCATGACCAGCCTTTCTAGTACAAACTGATCCTGAAAAATGGAGAGATCCAGGAGAGCCTTTATAGAGCTGAAAACCTGTAATTAAAAAGTGGGAAATATGAAAACAGCACACAACATAAACAAATGACTTTTCTCTCCTTCCTCCTGCCACCACAGCAATTATTAGCCAGGTTTCAGATGCATGGCATATTGGGCCAGAGCATCCCTTTAAAAGGAGACCACACGGGTCATGGTCATTCATCCTACATCTCCAAATGAAGGTGGTCAAAGAATTTTGTGACAGAAAGTGCTGTTTTGAAACCAAGTCTTGCTCAGACTCAGTAGACATAAACTGCTCCAGGTCTGTAGAGACACAGGCTCTTTTGCACTCATCCCTGCCTGTCTGTTCCAATGTGAAGTTCAGAGTGCAGATGCTGGAGCTTCTTACTGAATACAATGGATACACCAATACTTGGCATTTTAATTTCTTTTCTCTTATTACTATCTTTACTGCCTATTCAAAGCTCCTTTTTAATGTCCATCCTAAATCTTTCTCCCAAAATAAACCTTCAGAATGATGCATCATTCATTAGTGACAGCACAAAAGCTCACAGTCACCTTAAAAATATCAAACAGAATGGGGGGGGTGAGCTGGGAAGGTGGCTCAGTGGTAGAGCGCTTGCCTTGCATGCATGAGGCCCTGGGTTCGATTCCTCAGCACTACATAAGCAGAAAAAAAAAAGCCAGAAGTGGCACTGTGGCTCAAGTGGTAGAGTGCTAGCCTTGAGCTGAAGAGCTGAGGGACAGTGCCCAGGTCCAGAGTTCAGGACCCACAACTGGACCCCCCCCAAAAAAAAAGAATACAGGGGGAAAAATTTTTAATTCCAAAAGACAATTTGGCTTTTAACATTGCATCAGGTGAAGAGATTTGCTTTTTTCCCCCTAATGGTAAACTAGGGCATTCCTATAATCCCAGATATGTAGGAGGTAAAGATAGGAGGATTGTGGTCCAAGGTTGGTCCTAAGGGAAAGCACGGGACCCTATTTGAAAAATAAAAAGAGCAGGCAGCATGGCTCAAGTGGTAGAATGCTTGCCAGGCAAGCACAAAAGGAAAAGGAAGGGAAAAGGAGGGGAAGGGAGGGGAGATTAGGGCAGGAAACCAAAGGGAACAGAAGGGAAGGGAAGGAAGCAATCATAGTTAGTTTAAGTGTTTTGTGTCTCTTATATGGGAAAGACTTCATCAAAGAAATGGGACTCAGGACTTACATCCCTTTCCAGTCTCACCTTACCTTTTCACTTAGATGAGAGACTGTGATTTGAGCGTATCCGGCCTTCCTACCTAGGCGTTGCTCCTTTTTTCTCACAACATTCTCTGCAGCTAGGTAGAAACATTAGCATCAATAGTGTTTGTGGCACAGTATACTAATAGTTCAATGCTTATGTTAATAGGTCCTTAATCATATTTTTAAGAGCACATGCAGGTGTTTTCTAAACACACATGAATAGAAAACAAAAACCTGACAGTAAATCCCCCTCTCTGGAGACTTTACCTCTGCTAAGCAGAATTTCTCACTGTCCTGGTTTTCCTTTTCTTGGATGATCCAAGGAAGACTGGATGCTCAGTCTTCCTTGTTAATCCTCCATCTCTTCCTATTCTCTACATGCTGACAGGTCTCAAAACTCAGGTCCTAGACTTCTTTGCTAATCAATATCCATCCACTTGATGATCTCAGTTTCTGTGACCTTAGACCTCAGCACCACCACCACCACCACCACCACTACTACTACCACTAGTGTTTTCCAGTCAGGCATGGTAATGCACACCAGTAATGCCAGCTACTTGGTTACCTGAGATCAGAGGATCTCAGACCAAAATAAAACAGCCCCATCCATTAATGTTGTCCCTCTATTATTCCTTATATATTTCTAAATAGCACTCCTATATTAAATGTAAAAATATACAAACATAAATACATATCAGTGAAGATGGGTCTTTCCCTGGCAGTCTATTCCACAGCCACTAAGCTATAAGAAGGCTGGAGTAGGCATGTTGCTTATGTTGCTTATGATATCCTTTTATCATTTATGTGGGTCTTTGCTTCATTTTTTTCTGTTCTTTACAAATTTTTTACAATACCTATGTTCCAACGTATATATGCAAAAATACATTTAAAACAGAGTTTTCAAAATTTGCCAGTCATTAACAACTTTATCACACCAGTAGCTAATGCTTTATCATTTTTGTACATTTGGACTAATCCAATACTTGTTGCTTCCATTTTCATGAGAGAATAAAATTTTTAAAGCTACATTAAATTTTACCAATCCTATGGCTCATCGTAACAAAATGAACTTTTAGTTTCATTGAAGAGATATTTCTCAGACTATGAAGTTTTTATTTGGAAATACCTTCTTTTTCTTTGAATATTACATATGCAACTCCTTTGGTTCTTGTTGGATAGATCACCGCTTCAACATCACCACCCTCGTTCTTAATATCTTGGAAGTGACTCTTCACAAATGTGGCCAATAATTGATTACTAACAAGGTTCTCAGGAAGACCAGCAACTACTATAGTTCTTTCAGAAGCTGTGAATTCCTTGATTCTCAAAGCTGATGCCTGTAAGAAAAGCAGTAATTTATTCTTCAAGAAAGATAATACTCTTTATTAAGCACTAGCTTCTTGCCTAGCTACTCAGGAGTCTGAAATCAGGACTGAAGCTAGGTCAGCCTGAGGAGGGTGAGGAATGGGGAAGCCTTAACTGAAATAAAAAGTTGGGCATGGGGCTGGAAGGTGGCTCAGTGGTAGAGTGCTTGCCTTGCATGCATGAGGCCCTGGGTTCAATTCCTCAGCACCACATAAGCAAAAAGAAAAAAGCAGGAAGTGGCGCTGTGGCTCAAGTGGTAGAGCACTAGCCTTGAGCTGAAGAGCTGAGGGACAGCGCCCAGGCCCTGAGTTCAGGCCCCACGACCAGACCCCCCCCAAAAAAAAGAAAAGTTGGGCATGGTGATACTAAAAAGTGCTGAGGACTGGCTCAAGTGGCTCAAGCACTTACATACATATATACATACATGCATGCATGCATATATACATGTGGATATATGTATATATTGTGTATATATGTGTATACACATATGTGTGCATACACATATATACACACATATATCTCCTTGTGTATGTATGCATATGTACATATATGTGTTATGTATGTGTATATACATACATATATATCCTATATCTATATCTATATCTATATATATATATATATATATATATCTCCTTGGCAATAGCGTAGAGACTACTTGCAGTAAAGTAAGTCCCACTTTGTAGCATGGTATCAGAAGTGAAACTCAACCACAAAGAGAACATGATACTGCCAATTCTGCCCTCAGGCTAGGTGCAGATCACCAACTATGAAATCTTTTCTCTGGATCCATCCTCTTTAAACTTTCTAGAATTATCCACTTAAAGGGCTTCTATTTAAACATTTCCACTTGTCTCCTGACCCATTTAAGGTAGTGGGCCTCTCCACTTTTCCAATGCTTATACAATTAGTCCAGCCTAATTGCATCAAAGTTCAGGCAGAAGCTGTCTTACTTACAGTGATGAGTCTCCTGGGACCCAAGTTATGATTAACTGACCATAGAGGAGCTTTGGGCTGTCCATCCATCCAGAGGAAGAGGACTTTGAACTTAGAACAAGACTCTACCTCCACCTCCACCTCTCAGAGAGTGACAAGATGATAGCTTAAGCACACATACAGAGTCCTATCCAACCCAAAGCCCCTTAAAATGAAAAGTTATATAAAGCCAGATAAGAAAAGCAAACAGAATGGGAGATTTCAAGATTTCAATTTCTGGAAGACTGAAAGTATTCAGCAGTGTATGGAAGGAAAAGAAAAGAGAGAAACCATTCATCTAGAATAAACAAAAGGGAGTTGGCAGAAAATGATGACCATCTCCAGACTGCTAGAAATGAAAAGACAGGAAAGGGAGGAAGAGAGAGAAGGAACAGGAACAGGAGGAGGAGGAGGAAGAGAAAGAGGAGGAGGAGCAGGACTTGAAAGGCTGCCTACACCCCACATAAGCTTGAGCTCACATAAACATAGTACAGTGAAGGTTGATGACATAGAACTTCATGGAAAGATACTAAGGGTCATTTTACTTCTCTAGGGAAATTTTGATTTGAACACCTGAACATCCCTGAGCAAATCCTCTACACTTTTCTGGCAGCCTAAGATCAGAAGCAAACTAAATTGTGGCATGATTTTGAGTAGATTATGGAATACAAAAGAAAAAGAAAAGTTCATTTGTCCCAGCTGCTGAATATATTTTCCTGTAAGTGGAAAAGTAAAATTACACCTGACATTGGACCAAAACAAGAAAAAGTAATTAGAGCACATAATTAGACACTGTTGTACCTAGTATTTACTGTTTACATGAACATTATTGATTTTTGACTTTTGAGTTTTAAAGACTTGCTAAGTTTTTAAAATACCAAAGACTTAAATAATGCCTAGAGAATAAAACAGAAATAGTAATCAACTGCCAATGTAAGAATAAAGAAAAGCTAACAGAACTTGAGGGGGAAAAAAAAGATAAAAGGAAGAATAATCTCCTACAGAAAATCATGCAATATCCACACATGAAATTTTTATCAGTCACAAAAATAACTCAAAGAAAATTTTAAATTAATATTACAGTACTACTATCAAACTTGAAAAGCAAAGCAGTGAGAATGTCCCTGAATTTATCTTCCTTTATCATAGCAAAATTCAACAGAAAATGATGCAGCTCTCTTTTATCATCTCTCTGGTGATTCAGCTGATAGCTAATAAAAGAAGGTACTGAAAATGTACTTAACTGGTGAGATGGTATTTTTAAACTCATTACAATGTACACTAGAATTTATTAGAACATATATCTTCTAATTATTTAACCAAAGAACAAATATTGCATTAATTATGTTTTTTATGCCTAGTAATATTCTGGGTACTATTGAAAAGAAAGTATACATCCCTTGTTCTGAAATCCAACTCTCCAGCAAAAATATATTCATTATGCATGGGACTCTCAAACAGGCTTCATAATGAGGGTTGGGGTCCTATCCATAGAAGTGAAAAGAGACAGGCTCATAAATAAATCATTTCAAAAGAGCCTGGCATTCATGAAAGAGGGAGGGCTACTGCCCTATTGGAGAAACAGGCCAACACATCATTTGAAAAAGACAAAGACCACAATAAAAGAAAAATCCTAAAACTATAATAAATGCCACTCCAGATTGTGAAGCAGGATTAATTGGCTTAAAGACTTGGAATGGAATTTGATAAGGCAGAGGTAGCAAGAAAAAAGAAGTTTGTAGCAAATACAAAATGGGGTGGGGCATTAAAATATCTGGGTTCATACAGACATAAAACAAAGGCAATGTCTCTGTCAAAACAAATGTACATACAAATTGGGTGGATATTTGCTACAGGAGACACTCAGTGGAGGAAAATAATTTTGTCTAGATTGCAGAGTGAAACAGTAAAACTACATAAGACTTAAAAGCTCCCACCTTCCAGTTCCAACTAATACAATGTAATTTTCCCAAGTGAATTCTCCCATACAAGGGGGGGGGAGGGAATGAGCAAAGACATTTTTCTGATTCTCCAGGATCTTTATTTCATTAGATTTATCTTGATAAAGTTCTGACAGCCACACCAGCCTCAGTGAATAACTGGCTGATGAATGATCTTCCTTTTTGCTGTGAATCGCTGTCAAAGAAAAACTTGCAATCAATTTAAATCCAGAAAATCTTAGTCTACTTCTATGTTACCATCAATATTAATATAGTTCTTAATTCACATGTCAATATGTAATTTATCACTGAAACCAAAGAGCCTAGGCTGCAAGTGTGCCCATGTTAGGGAGCACCTGCCAAGCAAGCATAAGGCCTTGAGTTCAAACCCTAGTTACACACACACACACACACACAGAAGCTTGCAAGAACTTACTAATTTTTATAGATTATCTGATTAGTTATTAATGGTATGCTGCTATTCATCCTTAACTTTCATATGTTTGAGATGTATGGCTAACACACATCATTTTACTGAAATCAATCTGTGAAAGTCGATTCTGAAACAAAAATAGGATTTTTAGCAAATTGACAGGAAGATGTATCAACGGTACATCCTAAGGCACTATTGACCATTTTGTCTGAAAGCAAATAAAGGTATGAAACAAGAAAAATTTTATTCTCTAAAGCAAGACACTAAGGAGAAATTAATTCGAACCCACACTCTGTGCAGTTGTTAGTTGTTTTCCTAAAACCATACATTTATTCCCATTGACCATATCTTGCTTTACCCATTGGCACTGGCATTTCACCACTTGAGGATTTCAAACCACAGGCTGGGCGCGCGACATGAGACTTAATCTTGAATTTGCTGTTTTTCCTGGCCAGCACAGATGGTGGAAACATAAGAAAGCCCTTTGTGTCGCTGCAGAAATAAAACTTAGACGACAGAAGAACCCACCGGAGGAGAGCTCGCAGGACACATTCCTAACTTGTGTCCTCGGTTCCGATTCCTCCCCACTAGTTCTGTTCAAAAGAAAGCCGTGGCCCTCCGTTATTAGGTCGCCCGTCCGCTTCCCTCCCCAACCCTCACCTCCACCCCTAGCGGTGGGAAGACCACAGTTGAATTTTAACCGGGCCTGCGAGGGGACTCCTGCCCGAAAGCGCGGAGTGAGTCCCCGCGGGCCGGGGGGCGTGCGCGGGGTGCGCGGTGCGCGCGCTCGGTGCGGGGTGACCCCAGTGGGTCGGACCAGTCGCGCACCGCCAGATGCAAGTTTCGGGAGCAAGCGGTGTCTGTCGTGCGGCGGGTGCAGCGAGTCCCGCCCCGGCTTGGATTTCCCGGCGCGTGGCTTTCCAAGACCCAGGGCCGGTCTGCGCATCTCATCCCCGCCCGGCCCCGCCCCGCCCGCATCCCGCCAACCTCACCCGACCGTGCGCTATTTGGGGAGAGAAGCGTGGTGGTCAGTAGGGGCACGGCCCCTGCACCTCAAACACTCCAAAAACAAAACAAGCGCAACTTGCCATGGCGGAGAGGAAGGCGCCTTCGCTGCGCGGAGGACCGGGCGGGCAGGTTTTGCTTTCGGTTCTCGGTTCCTGCTTCCCCGGGAGACGAGCCAGGAGAGGGGGGCGGCCCCTCCGCGCCTGGCCTCGGTCCCTCCGCGCCTGGACGCGGTGGGAGCCCTGGCTTAGGACGGTGTAGGCCGGCTGCTGTCGGCGCCGACACACACACCCCAGGGTAGTTTTGCAACTTTTGAAAGCACGTTGGTAAAAGGCCGGAAGATTCCCCAGCGTAAATTTGGGGATTCTCCTCTTCTAGACTAAGGAGCTTCTATTAAATTAAATCTCCCATCCACTACATTTTAACCCCAAAGGGCAGGACCTATATTGTTCTTTCAAGCCTCCCCCAGCAACTAGGGAAATTCCTGATGAGCACTGTGTTCACCTCGCTCTGCATTCCAGCGTCTTTAATCTCTGTTGTTGTTGTTGTAATGTGATGTACAGAGAGGTTAGAGTTCCATAAGTCAGGAATTGAGTATGTTTCTTTTAACTGTCACCTTTTCCCTCATTTGCTCCCAGTTTTTTCCCTCCCAACCCCCTTCCCCTCCCCCCCAAGTTGTACCGTTCATTTTCAACATAGGGTCTAGTGACACTTACTGCTAAATTGGTTCACCCTTTGTCCCACCATTTCCATGCTTTCCCTTCCCCTGACTAAATCAGATAAACTTGTACATACAAGACAAAAGATACTGAAATCAAAAACAGGGACAAAAGGGGGAAAGCAGAGGGGAAAATAACACAAAAAGTAAAATAAAAAACATTTGTGTCCATTTCTTGGTGTTCATTTTGTTGGATTAGTTCCAACCAAAGTGTGGGAAAAAACACTTTTTTAAAAATGATGTCCTGTTTCTTTGTTTTGGCCTTGTACTGGTGACTCATGTCTGTAATCCCAGCTGAGATCTGAGGATCATGATTCAAAGCCAGCCCAGGTAAAAAAAAAAGTTCATGTGACACTTAGCTCCAATTAACCACCAAAAAGCCAGAAACAGAACTATGGCTCAACTAGTAGAGAGCCAAACTTAAGCACAGAAGATTAGAAACAGTGAGCTCCCAGGCCCAGAGTTCAGGGCGCAGGACCAGTGTGTGCGCGTGCACACACACACACACACACACACACACACACACACACCTTTATAAATTTTTATTAGCATAAATTATACAGAAAACTTTTGTTTGATATTTACATCATGCATATAATACATGCTGATAAAGTTCACATGATTCTTTCTTAGCCCCTGTGTTTCCACTTTCCTTCTTTATTTTTAACACTTTTTAGCAAGTTTCCGTATACTATTTTTATGTATATAAGATCTAGTGAAAGAGAGGATACTTGGTACACTCACAGGAAGGACATTTGGCACTCCAACTGATGAGAATTGGAAGAAGAAAAGCATACCAGGCTCAATTCTGAGGACTTAAGAGTTGTGCTATAATCTTAGCACTTAGAAATCTGGAGGATCATAAATGTGAGGTCAGCCTGGGCTATGAATCAAGATCTTACTGTTTAAACAGGGATACAGGTGGACCCATTGCAACAATGAGATGTACAAGATGCTATGTCAAAAAACGAACTTTACAACTTGGGGGGTGGGGGAATGGAATGTAGTTGTGGAGATGGGAGGGAAGGGATGGTAGGGGAAAAACAAAGGAGGCAACAATGCTTGTTAAGAAATGTACTCATTACCTTGCTCATGTAACTGTAACCCCTCCTCTGTACAGTATTCTCACAATAAAAGCATTTAAAAAAGATATTTCAAATAAAGTAAAAAACAAAAAAAGGAATTAAAGTTTTTATTTTTTAAGAGAAAGGATCATCATTTCTGTCAAATGTTTCAGGGGTGAGGAATGTCCAGCTTGCAAGTTAAGACCCACAAAAATCATTTGCTCTTGCCTTGTCAAGGCAACTATTCAGTATGTTTAGGGAGTTTTGTCATAGCAACATAAACATCAATAACAGCTAACATCACACATCAAATGGCCCTTTCAGGGGAAAATAAAAAAAAGATTCTCTACCCCTGGTAGTGATTTGGACTCAAAAGCAATAGTTTTCATCATTCCTTTGGTCTATTCTTCAAAATATGCCACATACGGCTGAGCTAAGGAGCACTTCACCACATCCACCTCTCCGCCTCCATTTTTCACCCTCTGAAAGTGGATGCTAACCAAATCCTCCACCATCTCTTCATCCATCTGAATGCCTTCCAGCCCAGTCAGAAGCACCGTCTTCTGAGACACTCCTGAAAAGATCTAGGAAGGAATAAAAAGTAAACTAGAAAAATCGAAAAGCTTTGAATTACAAAAGTTCCCATTCAAAAGCTGCACTCACATATTCTGCATTTTATTTTAGGAGAGATAGGGAGTCTTAGCCTCTCTGAGCAGGGGAACATCAGAGGCAGATCTGAGGTTCAGCAAGGAAACTCTGGTGGTATTACAAAGACAGAGGACAGACAGCAGGGCAGCTAGAGGAGCAGCAAGACCAGGTAAGGAATAGTCAGGTAGGACTGACAAGATTTAGCAACCAAATGGATGTTGGAAGTTGCAAGATGAAGAACCAAGCCCATCATGGTGGCTCATATCTGTCCTCTCAAGTACTTATGAGGTAGAAACAAGAGGATCAGATATGGTGTCAGTACAGAAAAAAAAAATTAGCAAGACCCTATCTCCAAGAACAAGCTGGGCATGGTGGTATACATCTGTAATACTAACTACAGAGGAAGTATAGGCAGGAAAATTACAGCCAATACCAGCTCAGGGAAAAGACACACACACACATACACACACCCTTAGCTGAAAAATAACTGAAGGGAAAAGTGGTAGGAGCATGGCTCAAATGATAAAGCACTTGCTTAGCAAGTGCCAAGACCCTGAGTTGAAACCCCAGGACAGAGGGGGAGGGGGGACGGGGAGGGGGGATGGGGAGAGAGAGAGAGAAAGAGAGAGAGAGGGAGAGGGAGAGGGAGAGGAAAGAAACAATTTTTGAGCTCCCTCACTGCTAAAGTCTGAAGCAGTAGGAGACAGAAATTATTCTTTAGTTTTTGCAGCCTAGGTTTGGACAGTGAGTTCCCAAAATGAAAGAAAAGGAAAAAAAAATTACCTGATACTTTTTCAAGTGCTTTTCTATGAATGGAGCAACAGTAACTCTATGGCACTTTTGATTTATAGTAAGAGGATAGTCTTTCTTTTTCAAAATTCTGTCAGCAACTAAAAGTAAACAAAAAGAAAAGTTCTCCTTTAACATCAGAAACCAAAGTTAAAACTTCCTTCCATTAGGCTAATATCAAAGTAAACACTGAATTGAGTGATGAATTTCTAAAACATGCTACAGTCCATATTGAAAACTTCATAGTACATGATTTTAAACACAAGACCAAACAAGTTTAAACAGTTCCTTTTGTCCTAAGCTACTCAGAGCAACCAATCGTTGCACAGAAAGTGATGTTCTTAGATAGACCTATCCTGAGCTTCAGAGAAGACATGATCATCTCCACACATCCTAGCAACACTAGAGGGCTTTCACTTTCTCAAGGTACTATGTAAACAAAAGTGAGCTAGAATATCATATATATTACAAACCATAAATGTATTTTGACAAGGTGTAGTGGCACACACTTATAATCCCAACTAGATGGGAGTTATGTATAGAAGGATGGCAGGCTGAAGCCAGCTGCAGGAAGAGATTTTATCTGAAAAATTGAAGTAATAAAAGCTGGAGCTATGCCTCAAGTGGTAAAATGCTTGCCTAGCAAGCATAAGGCCCTAAATGCAAGTCCCAATTATATATACTATAATTATATGTTACTATATAACTATATATAATATAGTTATATAATATAATATATAGGTATATATAATTACAGTGATATTTTAATGATGCTAATTTATTTCAGTTACTAAAGTAATGATATTAACCAGTAAGGTTGGGGACACATGGATGGAAGAGGTAAAAATGAAGGCAAATAACAAATATTCATCCATCTTCTCCAAAGCAAACAACAGTCTGGTTTTTAGTGTATGTGTGTGTGTGTGTGTGTGTGTGTGTGTGTGTGTGTGCGCGCGCGCGCAGTCCTAGATCTTTAACTTAGAGTCCAGACATTCTTGTTTACTAAAGGGTGGTACTCTATCAACTGAGCCACAGCTCAACTTTCAGCTATTTGGTGGTTAATTGAAGAAAAATGTCTCATGGACTTTCCTGCTTAAACTGGCTTTGGACCAAGATCTTCTGATCTCAGCCTCTTAAGCAGCTACAACTATAGGCATAAGCCACAGGCAATCTGCTGATTTCTTTTATAGCAGCATTTTTTTTTCTCCTGGAGTATAAAAGCAGTGTGTGAAGATTGAACTGTTTTAACAAAGTAGTTTTTGAGAACATGCAGTCATTTTTAAAAATTCCTTTCGGTAATCCATGATGAACGGGCAGTGGGGTTAAATGGTTCAGTGCAGCCCTTGTTAGTGAGGATGTAGAGAGATGGAACCTGGGAGGAATGTAAAGTGGATACAACAATTCCTCAGCGTGTTCAGTAAAGAATGACCAGGTTATTGGGCATTTCTGCTTCCAGTTATACATACAAAGGAGATAACAACACACACACACACAAATAGCACAATAGGATAGTATTAAGCCTTAAAAAATGAAATTCTGGCTAAGCACTGGTAGTTTACACATGTAATCCTACTCAGAAGGCTGAGATCTGAAGATCACAATTTAAAGACAATCTAGGGAGAAAAGTCCATGAGACTCTTACCTCCAATTAACCACACACACACACACTAAGCCAAAAGTAGAGATGTGGCTCAAGTGGTAGAGCTCCTGCCTTGAGAGGAAAAAGCAATGATAGCATGAAGCTCTAGTTCAAGCACCACTACAAACACAAAGGGAGGGAAGGAAGAAAGGGAGGGAGGGAGGGAGGGAGGGAGGGTAGGAACAATTTCACCATGGTACAATCTCCTGGTACAGTATTTTATCACAGCTAAAAACAAACAAACAAAAAAACCCAGAGTGCAGGATCTAAGTTGACTCTCCCTGTCT